TACTGAGTGATTAACACAGGCCAGACAGTCAAACACTGGGGACAGGGTGATGAATATGGTAATTATGGTCACCGCCAGCATGAAGCCTCAGTCTTAGTGGATGATTTCCATTAATCACAAAACGCAAAGCAGGGCAAGATGGTGGCCAAACTCCGGCGTTCTGATTTCCCTCCCCAGCTCCTAAAGGATCCTCTGGCTCCAATGTTCACTTTGAGAAACTTAGATCCCAACCCACAACTTGAAATCAAAGATAAAACTTTTATCAACTGGGAAATACTGTGTCCACTGGTGCATATGGACTGCATCTCACACTGTTTTCTCTAACTCCTAAGGTACATGACCTGCATTTGCAAACACAGACATCATGAACAGGTCACCCGTGCAGTGCTAAAGATGTCATTTTTTTTCTACGGAAACAAACTAATATAAATATATATATATATATATATATATATATATATATATACACATATATATATATATATGTATATATATATAAAATCAACCCCGTCCCTACTCTAAAAACACACAATCATATTTCAACTGATGGTTTAATTATGTGAAGGTAAAACCAGAGCCTTGTGTTCTGCTTATTTCAAAGAATATAGCAGCATCATGTGAGGATAAGGCAAAAGTCATTGATGTGTCTGAGAACTGTTAGGTTAAAATTGAAGAGACAGGTTACAGGAAGAAGGTGAGAACCTTCATAGAGACAATCACCAACGGGACTTCAAGACCTCCTGGTTATTGTTACTTTTAATTCTTTCTGAGCACCTGTAAGTAAATGGATTGAAAACTTAGGTTTGTTTTAAAAATAATCTGATGTTTCAAAATGGAGAGCACACCTGAAGTGGTTTCACAAGGTGAGACGTTGAGTCTGAATATAGAGCCTGTCCTCCCGAAGAGCGAGGTGAAGGAAAACAAAACAGGTCTGCAAAATGAGACAACTGTAAACTCTCTCAGGCGCTGAGGAAGAGAGAGGAGGAGGCGCTGAGGTCCACAAAGTGGGGCAAGAGCAGCGGGAGGACTGGCCAGGACTCCAGCCCCTGACATCGTCATCCTCTCACCTTCCTAACTGTTGAGGACGTCGGCCTTTCCTAGGGATGTGCCACCTTCCGCCTCATATTCGGTGACAGAGTACTGGTAACCGATTCGTGAAACAACTCATGGGATTAGGATTATTACTCTCAAGAGGAATGCAAACGCTGGGACCCAAAGAGCACTGTCTTCGAACAACCACGAGTACCTTTTACAGACAGCTGCTAAAATCCCAGATCTTCTCTACCAATAACTGTCAACAGAGAGAGCAAAGGGGGCAGGATATGGGACATTTTTAAGTCTCCTATGTTCTGTTCCATGTAGTAAAGGCTCTTGAGGGTAAAGCGGTGCGTTCTAAGACACAGATGTCCTGGAAGAAAAGTAGCAGGGTCACAGAAAGGATGGCTGTCAGTATTCTCTTGGATGTGGTCTATTTGGCTCGATCTCCCATCCATCCATCCATCCATCCATCCATCCATCCATCCATCCATCCATCCATCCATCATCTTTTTGAGAGTCTACCCATGTAGTCCTAGCTGGTCTAGAACTATCTATGTAGATTAGGCTGGCTTCAAACTCAAAGTGATCCCCCTGCCTCTGCCTCCTGAGTGCTGGGATTAAAGGCATGTGCCACCACACCTAGCCACATATTTTCAAGTTTATGCAGGAATTATAACTCCCAAAGGAAGAAGGCTTTAATTCAGTTTTAAAAACTGAGTTACTGGTTTGGATAAACACTGGAGGGACATGTGACTTTACAGACTTTATAACCGCAACTTTAATTATGCCATAAAAATTTCACTTACTCGGTCATATATTAAAAATATTGTTTTTTAGGAGAAGCTCTACAAATCTTTCCAACATAGAACGTTTTCAGTGTTATATGACTCCTGTGTCCGTGGCATCTTGTATCACTAACTCCAATATGCTCAGAAGCATCTTGTAGGACAATAATGCTCTGATCTTTTACAAAAGCACATTTGTAAGACATCCACACACAGATGTAACATGATACGGTTTACATACTGTACTCAGTGGAGCCCAGAGTCCTGTGAAGCCTCTCCTGGACCACCATGAGGCAAGGTGGAGACAGAGGGTAGAGCCGGAGGGGTTTCTCTCTACCCTTCATGCTAACTGGAGCAGCTTGGCTATCATCAATTGTGTATCTTAGGATTTAGCCAATGTTTTTTTTCTGGACAATGGACTCTGCTCTCCAAAGAAAAAGAAAAGCAAAAACATCTCTCACAGTTTAAAAATTGTCTTCCACGTTCAGTCCAATACTATGGACTACATGCTAATGGATTCCAAACACATAGAGAGTAGACTGCACAATTGTCCCGTGTCTCAGCCAAGGCAGATGAACTCTGAGGCTGTGACAGTTACACTTTAGGCCAGATGAGACACCTACGGAACTGGTGGTCTCCCTTGTTCAAGCGTCTCACTAGGCTGTCTGTAAGGAGGGCAGTCACCATAGCTTCTGAGTGGCAATCCAGCTCATTTCAACACAGAGGGGGAACTCAGACAGACGGCAGGGCCATCCTGCTCAGGCTCATACGCATTAAAACCCCACAGTCCTCAAAGGAACGGGGCTGGCAGAGACACTGTCCAGAAAAAACAACTCAGGCACCTGGTCCCCTGTGGGTTTTTTTTTTCCCCCAACTTTGCCTAGTCCCCCAACGACTACTGTTCTCCTTTAACTGGCAAAACAATCTTTGGAGAGCCATTTCAAAAGCTTTCTTCAGACCCAGAGAGTGGGTCCTTCCTCGAAGTTCCTCACCCAGGGAATCTGTGCAGACCACAGTGGTATCTAGAGGTCTCAGGGAGTTGTCCTCATTAGCCACCCTCTGGTCCAGGACACCTCCATCATTCAATGAATGTTAATTAAATGCATGTCTGAAGGAGGACCCTATGTTAGAAATAGAAAAGCATACAAAACCCTGTTCTTACTTAGAATAGGCTGGCTGAGGGCGGGACCCTGTCTCCCTACACTTCTATGTCTTAGATTTCTCAACATGGGGCTTATCACAACTCTTAAAAATCAGCTAGCTCTAAATCCCCCCTTCTTTTAAGAGGCAATCTATATGATGTTTCTGTATTTGTATACTATTTAAGGAAAAGAAAAAAAGCAAGTCACCAGGAAACTTAAATTTTAATATAACTCACGATCGCCATCTGCTGGACAAAGATTGAATGTGTATCCCAGTTAAAAGGTGGAAGTTTTTCATCACAGATGTGTATCATCTAGGTATCTTTCCCTTAAGTAATATATAAGTATAATATTCATTAAGTTATGTAAGAAGCAAGCTACCACCTCTAAAATGATTACAGCATGCTATGGAGACAGGAGACTACCTTGAGTTTTATGTGGCATCTACACGAATCAGAGAAAAACACCACAGCTGGATGCTCCCTGGTGTGACATAAAGGGGAGCGTGCGGGGAGTGGAGTGGGGTGTGTGTGGGTGAAGGGGAACTAGTCCTGGGAGGTCTTGGTGCTGGCTGCCTTCCGACACAGGAAGTACCTAGTTTCGTAGCAGAGAGGAAAAGATGCCAGCTTCATCCACCTACAGGCAAGACCAGATGAACTGCACCTCAGAGGGTCCCATGATCCCATGGTGCACCCTGGGGAAGACACTGAGGGAATCAGGTAACTGGGCGGTGACTGAGTGGCAAGTTCAAGTTAGAGTGAGGGCCCCCGAATACATCAGAGCGTGGGGCTCTGGCTAATTCTCTCCTGAACGCTGTGACCTTCGTCCAGTGTCTTAGCCTTTCTGTCACCTGGATTGCTTCATCTGTATGCAGGGACAGTTAGTTCCACAAAAGGACTAGACACGTTAATAGATGAAAGTGCTACCACACCACTCGGCACACAGGGAGGACTACACAGAATGCTTACCGTCGTTAATTAAGGACACAGGCGTTCTCGCTACTGATACAGCAGTGACCACAGAATATCTACCACCGTCAGCCGAACAGACTTGACTTCTTTCAGTGTAAAATGAAGGCATTTGACAGACATGGCAAAGGAACACAGGAAGTGGCTGCAGTCCCATGAGTGCAGGAGACAGTGCTGGGTTATTCGCTGTTGTATTACTCACTGTTCATTACAAATCCACAAAGCCATATGGTTTCATAGTACATTAACATGTTAGCTATAATGTTAATAATAGACAACAACAGACAAATATGAATTATGTCTGTGCTTGTATATGTATGTCTCTCTCTCTCTCTGAGTGTGTATGCACGAGTGCATGTGTGTGTGCCTGTGCATGCATATATTCCCGTGTGTGTGTGTGTGTGTGTGTGTGTGTGTGTGTGTGTGTCCGTGTCCCTGTATGTGTGTCTGTGTGTGCGTATGTCCCATGCGGTGATACAGAAGCAAAGTGATGCCCTGGCAGGGAGATTGTTAGAGTAGCTAATCATGACACAAAACTGGAAAAAGTGAAGATCTATATACAACAATACCTAGTCCTTGGGCCCATTCAGCAAGGTTTTAGACCATAGTAAGATTTACTAATTTGTTGATCTTGAGAATCAATAGTAAGTCCTGTGAAATAATAGCTGGATGGGACTCAGAGAGGTACAGGTAGACAAGAAAAGTGAAAGCAGGCTCCGTGGGATTGTGGCTTCTCATTCCCAGAAGGCATTGTGAAGAGAACTTGAAGACACCGAGGACCAAGAAGGAGAAAGAAAGGACGCAGGGGCCCTACAGCATACCCATGTCAGCATCCACTTAGAGAACTCCAGTCTTAGGCCCCTCCCATCCTGAAGGGATAAAGTGCTTCTTTACCTTTCTCTGCTAGCCTTCTGTCTTCCTGGCCCATGCCAGGAAATGAACTCAGCAACCCCCTCGACAACCACCGGTAACCTACTCCATATCCTGCTTCTGATTCTCCTGGCCCCTGTTCAAAGACTAGACATCTGCGGAAATGGGGTTTCCGTAGGTGGCAACGATCCACGCACCTTTTCGATCAGCTCGTAGCTCTCCTCCAGCTTCAGCAGCCTGTTCTGCACCGACGTGGATGCTCGTTGGTAGACAGCCCGCCACTCCTCGAAGTCACTCTCGGAGATCTCAGCCACAGCAAAACACAAGGTCCTCAGCCCTGCAAAAGGCAGCATGCCCCAGCACACCACCAAAGATGCAGTCACCAGTCCGACGGTTCCATTATTTAACAAAATCCAATTTTGAGTAGTCTCACTGAATTCAAACAATTTGTTGATGCGTCAGTCAAACTATGACAGCATCCCAGTATCAAATGTCTAGAATGCTCTTCCAGCTTTGAAATTTTGTACCTTGCTTACAATTTCAGGCCCTTTTATCCTTTCCTCCACATCTAGGGTGACTTTTCTAGAAGCCTCGTCTTAGCAAGTTGTTCTTGTTCGAAACCCTCTAGCTGTTCCCCAGGATGAAGTCTCAAACCTGGAGTGTGGCTCACACGCTTCAACTGTCTCCTCACACTCCTCACCATTCATCCATTTCCTGTGGCCATTCACTTCCTGTGACATACGGGGTCACTGCCCAGGGTATCCATTTTACCCCTCTTGCCCCAACACCCCTCCACTGTCTGCCAGACAGCTCTTCCTCCTGAGAGAGGCGCAGAGTTACTGACCACTGGTTCACTCGAATCTTGGGGCTGGATCAGAGCAGTTTTCCTTTTCCTCTTTTGGGAATGGGGCTGGAAATTTACTTGGGGGCAGTGTGGGGATAGAAGTATCCTTTGGCCCAAGGGCAGGAAGAATGGGGTGGCGGTGGGGGCCAAGCCAATTCAAATGGGGGACCAGAGCCTGTGTAATACTGTTACCAAAGTGGAGATGTCCTGACCTCCAGACCTTGAACCCAAACCTACAAGACCTGCAAGTTGGGCAGCTCAAACCCGGCACAATCAGCCAGGGGATGGATGTATAGGTTTCTCAGCTCTCGCATTCTTGGGAACTTGGAGAACATTATGTTCTGCTATTCTAAAGCCTATTATTGATTTTGGTTTAATGTTTTTAGAAAACATTCTTATCTTTTCAAAGACCTGATTATGAAGAAACAGGGACTTGAGCAGGGGTCAGGCTGGCTGAAACAGGAGCGAAGATGGAGATGAGTGATTTAGATACTGGGTGGACGCGGCCATCAAGAGCAGCGGCAGGTTTCTACACGTTCTCCAGTGTAACGACCCTCACTTCCACTCAGCTATCCGGAACATTTCTGTAGACCCTGTATTGCTCGCCTCAGACATCATCATGTATTTCAGGAGAACAGTTACAGGCTGATTTTATTTACCACAGACTCCTAGGCCTCCCACAGACACTGGCATGTGGTGGGGCTCAATAAAAAAAAAAAATGTCAAGTTGTAATAGTATAATAACTTTTTACAAAATAATATAAGTTTTTTTATTATTCAGATTACAGAAGCTCAGTTATTTTATTTTTTCTTAAGTAATTCCAACAGATACAAGGTAAAGCATGTAAATGGTATCCATTCTAAAAAATAACACAGATTTAAAGGCCTTATTACTTCAAATAAGGGCCAAAGTCTCTCAGTATTTTAAGTTTTTCCCCCCCCTAAGGAAAAATCACGTGGAATAGTGCATAGGAATATCTAAGCTATCATCAATAACCAATGCTTCACCTAAGGAATCTGGAAGTAAAACAGTCAATGACCATGTAAGATACCAAAAGTCTACAATTTCTTTGTGATTCAATCATGTTCTATTTCCAAATAATGCTCACCTTCCGTAGCAAACTGTTCTAAGTGTTTTAGGGTGATTTCTTTGTACTTGGAAGTCTCTGCAAGTCTTTCATAAATTACTGTGTCCTGGAAAATAAGCAGAAGGCACAGTGGATTCATTAAGCATCCTGGATTTAATAAGACTGAAGTACACACCATTATTTGTCTCCAATCTGTACAAAAACTCCCAGTGTTTTCTTTTAAGCACAGAATTTTTTTTTTTTCTATGAGTAACAGTGATTCTCCAAAGACTGAAAGGAATACAGCTGGATTTGTGGGTTTGGGTTTGCATCATGGATTCAATCAATCACAGGAAGAAAATGTAATCTGGCCTGTAAGGTTGGGTCTGCAGAGAACATGCACGTGCTTTTTCTTGGGATAATTCCACAAACAGAACGATAGTATTTTCCACATAATGTTTGCGACACGGTAAGAATTGCAACTCATCTAGAGTTGGCTGGAAACACAGAGAAGGACCTGGTGTAGTCAGAGTCTGGGAAGTGGAAGCACTGGACAACTGTGCAACATACTGAGAGAGCACTATCCCTGAAGGTTGGGCAGAATTTTGTGAGTTCTAGAATGCTCTAGAACTCAGGGAATATTGGGAAGTGCTGGCCGGACAGAGCCTGTCCTGTGCAGTTCTCCCGTGAGCTGGAGCCTTGGTGGCAACAGTGTGTACATAAAACTCATCCACCCGTAGAACCTTCCAGGGACAAGAGCACCTTTATGGGTCTGTGCTCACAGAGGCACACACACGAGGCAGCACTGGACTGCCAAATGTCCCGAGATGTCTGGTGGGGACACGATGTCTCTGACTGTGTCTAGCTTTAAAACTTGGTCGACTTCATTTGTAAACTAAAATTCCCGGATCAAAACTGATATTATTTCTTTGAAATTTTCATACAGTATGTTTTGATCCTCTTCACCCCTCCTCCGGCCCATTTTGAAGTCCCGTTGGCTTTAGCTTTACACACCAGTTGCCTTTCTCTGCTCTTTTCTCCTTTATAAATTGCCTATTGTTCCCTTAGCTATTCGCTGGCCTTGGTTTAATGTCTTAAAGAACCTCAGTCTTCAGCCTTCGTGACTTTTTATTAGACCAGGAAAAAATAAATCATCTACCTGCAACTACTCTCTCAGTGGTAGTACCCACTGTGGGGTTTCCAGTCTCGGGTTGAGATCTGGAAGCTGACTAATGGAGTATGATTTAGAGCCCTTGAGAGAAACACAACCAAGTGACCTCACAACAGATGGAAGAGCCCAAGCCCCAGTTAAGAATTTCTTCTCATTTTCCAGTAGTGGGATGGGAAGGGAAACAGGGAGGGAAATGACAGTTTGTGATCGTGGCTCCTTCCTGGGAGGGCAAAGAGTTACTTGGGAGTTCTTTTTTTTTTTTACACGGTGGTTCATGAAAATTTCCACGAGGTTAACAGAGGCCATTTTCAGAGGAAGAAAATCTTTTCAAAACTTGGGAAACAGAAGTGGTGAGTGAAAGAGGGAGGAGCTTCAACTCTGCAGTAGGTCTAAGCACACTGGTGCCCAGAAGAATCAATGAACTGTCTACATTCTCCCTGGTATTGAGAAGGACAAGGGAGGAAAGATGGCCTTCTGCAGCAAATACAGGTTTTCAAACGACAGTCACAGTGGTTGGCCATGCTTGCCTGTGAAGAACAAAATACTTAAGATTCTTTTGGGGATACAAAGCTCTCACATATAAATTTTTCTTAATTGAAAAAAAAAAAAGAAAAAATCTAGACACAGACACAAAGATATTTATTATTATGATTTATAAAAAAAAGAGTCTGCCACATTTTTAGGGGTGAGGTAAATTCCTCCACAGACAGTAGAAGAGGTATATGCCATCAGGTCAGACTTACAACTTATGGAAAGATCCTCAGGGGATTTGGTTATCTTGTATCCTGGCCCTCAGTAAGGAAAAGTAGAGAAACCACAGTGACCAGACATTCTTGGGGATGGCACGGCACAGCCAAATCACTGTCACTGAGGGTGGGCCCAGGGCTTTGCGGAAAGTTAAATCCATGGTTAATCATTCCTTTGTGGTGACCATTCACTCAAAAAAAAAAATGTTTTCCTCTTGCTTTTTTATTGTTTTGTTCTTTGGAGACAGGGTCTCATGCAATTCAGGCAGGCTTAGAATTGATTATGTAGCTGAGGATACCCTTGAACTCTGATTTTCCCGTTTCTACCTCCTAAGCACCTGGGATTACAGGCATGAGACACCACCTCTGGCTCGCACTGTGTTTTAGACTAAAATTTGAATTCAGCTCTGTATTTAAAAACATATTTTTGTCCATGTGCATGTGCTGGTATGCACATGTGTGTAGGTACATGCACATGTGTGTAGGCACATGCACGTGTGTGTAGGCACATGCATGTGTGTGTAGGCGCATGCACATGTGTGTAGGTACATGCACATGTGTATGTACATGCACGTGTGTGTAGGTACATGCACGTGTGTAGGTACATGCACGTGTGTGTAGGTACATGCACGTGTGTGTAGGTACATGCATGTGTGTATAGGTACTTGCATGTGTGTGTAGGCATATGCATTTGGAAGCCACTGGTCAACCTCTGGTATTCTTCAGGAGCCAGTCATCTTCTTTTAGTGAGACAGTGTCTCACTGGCTTGTGGGGCTTGCCCATTGGCTATACCGGCTGTTAGTCAAACCCCAAAGATCCTCCTGTCTCCATCTCTCCTAGGATTATACGCTCATGCTATTTATTTGTTGCTTTTATGTGGGTCCTCAGGATCAAACTCAGGTCCTCATGCTTACATGCCAAGCATCTTACCTACTGGGATATTTCCCCAGCCTCAACCAAAGTTGAGTTAAAGTTAAAAGTTAAAAAAAGAATAAACGGTTTGTGTAGGGTTGAAGTCTAAGGCATGCTGATGATGGGAGAAATAGTCTTCCCCAGGGAAGAGCACACCATTTGGTTATCCAGTACCAAATGGCCAGCCCCAAAAACATACTGTAGTGGTTTAAATAAGGATGGCCCCCACATATTTGAATACTTAGTCATCATGGAGTGGAACTATATGAAAGGATTAGAAGGATTAGGGGGTGTGGCTTTGGAGAAAGTGTGTTACTGGGGGTGGGTTTTGAGGTTTCAAAAGCCCACAACAGGCTCAGGCTCGCTCTTTTGTTTGGCCTACAGATCAGGATGTAGCTCTCCGCTACTGCTCCAGTGCCTGACTACACGCCACCGTGGTCCTCACCAGGATTATAATGGATTAAATCTCTGCAACTGTAAGCCAAGTCCTGACTAAATGCTTCCTACGAGTTTCCTTGGTCATGGTGTCTCTTCACAGCAATAGCACAGTGACTAAGTAGTTCAAGTAACATGACACAGACTGAGCAGGCTGTATTTAGAAATATATAAGCATATAAATATATGCATGTAACAGTTAATGAAAAAAGAGGCCATGAATTTGAAAGAGAGCAAGGAGCAGTCTATGGGAGGGATTGGAAGGAGGGGAGGGAAGGGAGAAATGATGTCATTATTGTGCCATGCTGAGTGTGTGGTGACCAGAGAACAACCCACAGGAATGGGTTCTGTCCTTCTACTATACAGGTCCCCGGGATTAAACTCAGGTTGGCAGGCTTTGGGTAAGTACTTGACAATCTCACCAGCCCATAACTTGCTCATATTTAAATATACACAACACAGATATTTTCTGTGATAGACTCCATTAAGAATTAACTAGACTTTGCTCTGATATGGTAGAGAACTGCCCAAAACAGATGATTGTAGATACGGTTTATTTTGGATATAGCATAGACTTTTAAGAGACACGTACTTTGAAATTTTTGGTCTCCTAAAGGTTCCTGGAGGATCAAGTGTGTTCATCAAGTTTCTCAAGTTTTCCTGCGGTTTACAGTAAACTGACTGAATAAACTAAAGTTTTATTTGAGTAAATGGTACTTTTCTCTAACTGGCTATGATTGCAGATATAAATTGTAAACTGCATATGCTTCCATTTTTTATTATAAAACTAAGGTATCTTTCACACAGAAACTCTTAAAAAGCAGGAAATATACATCCCACGCCAACCCCATCACTATTTCTTTATTCTGTGTGTTACATGAAATTTTCAGTACTGCCTTCTAATTTACTAACTTTATTCTCCCTTCAATTGGGTCTAATCCAGAATTTACTTCATTTATTGATTTAAAAAACTGCTTAAGGTTTCTCATCCACCCTGCATGTCTACCAGATTCCTCTTCCCAGTTTCTTTTTCAACACAAATAGCTGTAACTTCTTTATTTATCGTGCCCGAGCTTCCAAACACCCTGAGGTAGAGTGGTCTACACAGATGGACTAATCTGGAGCGAATCCATGTTTCTCTGGTTATGGTGCTCTGGTGTGAGATTTCCATACAGATTCCCCAGCTCTGTATTTTCTTGCATGCATGCCAACCTCGTGGTTTTATAGCCTTCGCAGGGGTTGGCAGGAACCTTTCTCAGCCCCTTGGCATGATTAGAAAGCTCAGCACTTTGGTCTTGGCCTCAGAGTAGGGGAGCTGGCTTGCACCTGAGGTCCCTAATTGGACCGAAGGTCAACTCAACAGGAGGGAAATCATGCCTCGGACTGGAAACCCAGCCAACTCCTTGGCACTAGGGATGTTATGGGTCCTAGAGGAGAGCCTGCGACTGCCACAGTTCCTGACTACATTTTAAAGCTCCCTCTTATACCAACAGTTAAGTGTGGCTCGCACCTCACACTAAAGAAACTTCTCTTCAGAGCAGAGACCATTACAGAAAACCACAACGGGTCATAATGCAGAAATCAACTAATTGTGGGGAGCTCCGTCAGCTATCGTAGATACATTTACACAACACCTGTACCTAACACTCAGGGGCGATCATGGACTAGAGGGTTAGAAAGATCAGAAAGTCTGTTGTGAGATTGTGTCTCCCAGAAAGGATGGGGAAGCTAAACACTGAAGGGGGGGATCTCAGCGACCCTCTCTTAGTCCGTGTTCTATTGCCGTGAAGGGACACCCTGACCACAGCAACTCTTTTTTTTTTTTTTTTTTTTTTTTTTTTTTTTTTTGGTTTTTCGAGACAGGGTTTCTCTGTGTAGCTTTGCGCCTTTCCTGGGACTCACTT